TGGAAATAGGCTCATTTTACAACTCCCCCAGAGTTAAACTGTTGAGTTTTACCGTTTTTGAATCCATTCAGCCGATCTCCGGTTCTGGCGGTACCACTTTTAGCATAGCTTAGCATACATCATTGAAGTGGACAAGACCATTAGCATTTCTCATTAAAAAATGACCAAAGTGTTTCGATATTTTTCCTATTTAAAACTTGACTCTTCTGTAGTTACATCGTGCACTAAGACCGACGGAAAATGTAAAGTTGCGATTTTCTAGGCTGATATGGCTAGGAACTATACTCTCATTCCTGCGTAATAATCAAGAAACTTTACTGCCGTACCATGAGAGCAGCAGGCGTAATGATATGACGCAGCGCCTGAAAATAGTTCCGTTGTGTTGACGGAAGGTGGCCTATTTTCAGGCGCTGCGTCATATCATTACGCCTGCTGCACTCATGGTACGGCAGTAAAGTTTCTTGATTATTCGACTAGGTGTCGAACACGGCGCGCGCGTTCTGTCGACAGCTGAGCTTTCATAGCCACGGAGTCCAGTTCCATCCCTAAAAAGGAGATTGACTGGCTGGGCCGTAATGATCTCTTGGTCCAGTTGACCGTGAGACCCAATCTTTTCAAGCGACTGAGAAGCATAGTTCTGTGAGATACGAGCTCCATCTCTGACTGTGCTAGAATCAGCCAATCGTCCAAGTAGTTCAGAATTCGCACACCCTGACATCTGAGGGGGGCGAGCGCCGCGTCCATGCACTTGGTAAATGTACGGGGTGCCAGGGAGAGGCCGAACGGGAGGACGGTGTACTGATATACCTGGCCGTCCAGGGCGAATCTCAAGAATGGCCTGTGACGGGGTATAATCTGTTTCTGAAAATACGCGTCTTTCAGATCGAGAGATATAAACCAGTCCCTCGGGCGAATTTGCGCGAGGATCTGCCTGGTTGTAATCATTTTGAACGGTCTCCTCATGATAGCTTTGTTAAAAAATCTCAGATCTAATATAGGCCTCCGTCCTGTAAAAGCCTGACTCGCTCAGAGAAGGCGGCACCGGTTCTATAGCTCCTTTGTACAGCAGTTTGGCTATTTCTGCGCGGAGTCGATGTGCTACTTTCGTGCTCACTGTCGACTAGGTCCGAGCGTGAAAACGCGGGGGGCGGCGAGCGAACTGTAGTGCATAGCCCTGTCTTATTGTGCTTAGCACCCACTCTGAAACCCCTGGAATGGCTTCCCATGCTTGTGCATGTGAGCGCGCTGTGGCGGGCACGTGACTTACAATCGCAGCCTGACTCATATGGGTGTCTATATGTGGCGGCTCGCTGACAGCAACAGCTGGCTGTTTTAAATGAGGCGACCCGGTTACTGTGAACGGGGAGCGTACCATGAACATTCTATGACGCGCGAGCAGCACCGGGGACAGTGTGTCTGTTAGTAAGAGTGAGCGCTTGTGAGCGGGCACGTGACTTACACTCATAACCTGACTTATTCGAGGTTGAAATGGCCGTGTGACAGTGCGGGCATGAGATGGACGTGAGCGCGAGTTCGTGGATGCGATGTTTACATCTAACACTCGAGCGGCATTTGCCAGCTTTATGAGAGTGGGCTCTGTGGGCCTGAGGGACACATGTTTTCGAGTCCTTGTGTGTAGGGGTGAACACTGGGACGTGGGCACATTTTCTACACTTAAAACACCAGCGGCATGAGCCGGATAAACAGAAAATACACTCTTTATGAGATTTCTGTGGGTCGCCGTAAAAACGGCGTTTGTGTGCAGGCAAGAGGGCATTATAGCCGGCTCGTTGGCTGCTAAATAATCTCTTGCAGTAGCCCTCTGTGGGGGGACTGACAAGGCGTGGCGTTTCGACGGTGGTCCGGCCGCAGCGGGACTTAACAGTCTTTTCTCCTTTGGTGTTAGGAGGGCTTCGCTTGCTCGGGCTTCAACACAATCCTCGGCCGGGGTCCCCGCGGGGGAGGCGGCCTGTGGCGGCTGTCCGAGCGCGATCTAGGGCGGCCGCCCTGTCGACGCTGCGAAGCGGCAGGCTTGGCTGGACGCTGAGTAGAGCTTCTAGCAGGCGGCTTGTCACGTGAGCGGCCTGTGGCTGAGCTAGAGCGTCGTGGCAGAAACAAATTCATGGCCTGCGAGGTCTTCTGTACTTCTGGGAAGCGATCCACGATGCCATTGACCGCTGGGCCGAAGAGGGGGAGAGCGGCGCGTTGAGGAAAGTAGCACGCTCAGACTCCCTCATGTGCGGGCTCCTTGGGCGGTGACCACTCGAGGCCGAGGCGGTCGACGGCCTTTACCAGGAGACGCATCAGCTCCACACCCAAACGTGTCCGTCCGGACTCCTGGATGGAAGCAGAGGAGGAGTGGAGAGAACCAGGCCATTCCTCGCTGTCCGAGGCCAGGAGAGAACAGCTGTCGTCCGCGGCGCCCCTATCCGCCTCGTCCTCTGAAGCAACGGCAGTGAGGGGGGAAGCAGGCATCTGCGCGTCCGTGGGGGGGTGGGGAAGGCGAGAGAGACACTCGAGGGAGCTGGTCCGGCGAGTGTTTGTCCTCCGCGTCGGGCTCCGGCATTCCTCTGAGCACGGCGCTTCTTCTTGCGCGGTGAAATGGAGGGCGGAGTGACAGCTTCAGCGCTGAAGAGCTCCAGACGAGCCCGCAGGGTCGCCATAGACAGCTCTTCGCAGTGGGTGCAACCTCCTGACGAAAGTGCGAGGGCTGCGTGGTCCTGGCCCAGGCAGAGAGCGCAGATCACGTGGCGGTCTCTGGCGCTGAGCGGGGCTCGGCACGAGCCACAGGACGTGCAAGGCCTTCTTATAAGAACGCTCGCGCTCTTTTAGAAAAAGTGTGTGTCGCAGCGGCGAGCACACACAGACACAGTAAAACAGTGGCAAAGAGCAGTAAAGGATATTTGTCGCCGGATAGCGTTGCTGGCACGGAAGGCTTATCGTTGTAGGCTGAAGGCGGCGAGAAGTCGACCGGCTTCCTCAGGCGCTTTCCTCTGCTGGCAGTCGCTGGTTTCAACAGCGGCGGCTTCTCTCGGATCCAGCGGAATGAAGAGCTTCGCTGAAGAGATGAAAATCAGGCAAACAGCCTCTGAGCCCCGCTTTTATACACTAAGCCACACCCCACTGCGTTGACAAAATATACAAAATTAAGGATAATTTTGGCTTCAATATCTCGAGCAAAGATGAACTTTACACGTAGCGTAAGCTAAACTTACGCAATACGAGAGAACCTCTCGTAAGAGAACATTGAATTTGCCTCAAAAGTCGTTCTTTTCTGGTGTTTTTGTGTCCTTTTTAAAGCTTGTAAGCTGAACTCTCCATGAAATTGCATGCAAAATCTATATAATGATAAACCAATACAAACCCGTTAATTGTCAATACACAACCTGGTCTTGTGTTTGAGCTCTGCAAGATCTCGATTCCATCCTCCAGTAATAAACCAGCATTTACCCTAGATGTGGAAACACATTATACAGATAAAATGAATAAGATTGATAATGTCATTCTTCATCTGCTTCTTGCACATTCTTTCAAACTATTTCATAACAGTTTAAATGGATGAAGGCCATGAACTACAGATGGGTGGTTTTATTTGCTTTGTAAGGTTATCTGATATAGCAACAGCATTGCAAAATTGCTAAACTACCAACATAAATTAAATAATAATTAATTAAAATAATAATTAAAAAAAATACAATAGTTCCTTTGTTTACAAAACATTTTGTGATTCTAAGGTTTTCAATTCCTCAAAGGTGAGTGACTGTGTGATCAGTGTCATTAATTCATAGCCTTTTAATGTTTTAAAAGGCTAGTTCACTAAAAAAATAAACTCTGCCATGTCATTCATAACCGGTGTGTCTTTCTCTCTTCTGCAAAACACAGAAGAAGATATTTTGAATAATGCTGGTAATAAAACGGTTTTGGTTCATTGTATTTCTTGTCCAAACAATGGAAGTCCATGGGATCTGAAACTGTGTGTTAAATAAGCATTCGTTAAAATAACATTTTTAGTTCCTCAGATGAAAACAGGTTTAGAACAACATGAGGGCGAGTAAATGATGACAGCATTTCCCTCTTTGGATGGACTATCCATTTGAATATTAGATACTCAGTTCTCATCAACAGACAAATTCACATAGAAACAGGACAGAGGGGATTTCAGATGTTTCTCACTTGAGTTCGGTTAGACTGGGGCAGTTCTGGCTCATCTGGAGGGTCCAAACAGACAACTTGTCAGTTAGAGAGTCCACGGTCATTTCCATCTTCTCCAGGTTAGAGAAGGAATAGAGAGATGACAGTAATGCATTGAAATCCCATTGGTGAATTATCTGAAAAAGTCTGGTCCAGTCGATGTTGAATATCTCTGAGTGTGGAAAGGTGAGACTGAATGATTCCAAATCGAACTCGGGATCAATCTCTATGCAGATACTATAAAAAAAAGAATTAAAAAAGATTCAAGTTGTTGTTGTGTCTATAAGTTATTATAATGTCTTGCTTATGCTATTAAAAAAAATAATTTAAAAAAGGTGTTGTTGTTGTAAAATTATGATTAATTGGTGGTTTGTTGGGCACCAGCCAATATTTTCATCATTATCAATAGTCAAAAAAGATAAAAGTGTGTACCTTATTTTTTTTAACTGTTTTGGGAGACCAATTTAGTTGTATTATTACTATTAGAATTATAATCTATTAGATTGCGGAGACCAAGTATGCCAGATAAACGGGAGAACAAGATGATGATATAATTGGTTATACAAAATATATTTATCATAGAATTATTTCTGGTTATCATGAGAGAACTAAAAATATTTTGATGAAAAGAAAAAATTCACTTGTTCTTCACCTGGACGGCTCTTTAATGATTGTCAGATCAAGTGAGCGTCTGGTTCTTACATAAACACTGCAAACCAAAAAACAGAAAAAATATACATTAAATAAAAGTTAAACAAAAGCACATTAAAGGATGATGCACGTGTGCAAAAAACACATCAAATGTATAAAATATATTTAAAACATTACCTCTGTGAGCTCAGGGTCTGTCCTCTCGTGAGAGCGTAGATCAGTTCACCGAGATCAGAGTCTGATGGACAATCTATAGCCAAGCTTCAAAATCAAATCCAGAACATCACTGTACAGACTAATTAAGCTTAACTTGCAATAGCTAATTATAGATTAGATATAAATTACATCCACTAAATATCTGTTTTAGACCAAAGCATTTACCTTGCATCTTTAAACTTGTGAAGTTCAGGCAAAATCATAGACAGATATTCCGATGTTAAATACAAACTAGAGATTCCTTCAATTCTCTGACAGCACTGACAGCAGTACAGCAGGGCACAGACGTCTGCTCTACTGAGGAATGGACCATGAAGATCAATCCTTTCCCAGGATCCCATTACTTCTTTCACAAAGTCTTCTTCATGAAGTTCATACAGACAGTGAAGAACAATAAATACTGCTACCGAAGACCAGAAAAAATCTTTAACCTTTTCCAAAATCCATTGTTTCAGATGAGCCTGTGTTTTTGGACGAATGAACAGACCATGTTCTTTAAGTGTGGATCTCACATCCTTATTCAACAAACCAAATACAAATTGCACCACAGCTGCAAAACGTGGTTTTGAGGAACTATCCATTAAAAGTTTCCCCAGGGACTCTTCTTCATCCAGAAGGACATAGTACAGAGCACAGAAGAACTCCTGAAAGCTGAGATGCATGAAACTGAACATCGTCCCCTGGCGGATTCGTCTCTTAAACAGGAACTTGCACAAGAATGGATTTCCAGCCGGGTCTGAAATGGTTTCATTCACACTTTTCTCATCCAGCAGGACTTGCTGTTCCTGCATCCCTCTCTCTGCCAGCTCACCCAGACTCCTCAGCAGGGTCGGGACGGACTGACTCAAACCCTGGCAGTGATGCTGCAGAAGAGTGCACACAAAGTCCACGTAGATGGAGGTAGTGGTTTCCAGTCCGCTTGTCTTATTCGCACCATATTTGAATCGCTCCTGGATAGTTGTGCAGATGATCCAGCAGACGACAGGGATTGAGCAGGCAGTGATGAGGGTTTCATTTGCCTTCACATATGTATAAGCATCTCTGTAATGTTCCTCATTTTGAAAAAACTTCTGGAAGTACTCCTCCACCCCCTTCTCTGAAAATCCCACAATCTCAGAGAAACGCTGAGGTCCTTTGAGCAGATCTTTACTGAGTGTGTCCGTAGCTGTAGATCTGGAGGAGACCAGCAGGAAAGACTCTGGCAGGATTCGACCCCTCAGCAGGGCACAAAGAGTGTCCACAGGTGGGGCTTTCTGAAGCAGATCAGTGTGTGCTGACGTGTCATTAATGTCCTGTGGGAGTTTCAGCTCATCAAATCCATCAATGACCACAAGCACCTTCTCTGGCGACTGCTGTAAAATCTGTGAGATCTCATGTGATGTTAAACTACAACTGCAGCTCAAGATCTCCACCAAACTCTTCTCGCCAGGAATGCGATTTATTTCTTTACACTTTAAGTGGAACACAATATCAAACCGCCCTTTGTAGAGGACACCAGATGCCCAGTCCATCATGATCTTCTGCACAGTGAAAGATTTCCCGTTTCCAGAATTTCCCTGCAGTATCACAGAACTGGGACTGATCCCGTGGTCATCTGGGTCGAACAGAGAGTTGAGATGGACAGAGTCTCCACTGCTCCTGGAGCTGAGGACCTGCTGGAAGCTCTCTCCACTGGAGCGGATCTCTTCTTCTCGCTCTTTTCGATCTCTATGTTTCCGAAGGATCAGAGGTTGTGTGAAGCGCTCAGACAGCAGCACATGTTCACCAGGCAGTGAGTTATACTCAGTCACATACTGATACTCGCTGCAGATCCGCTTCATATATTTGTGAATCACTGGGCTGATTTCTGTAAAAACGGTCAATGTTCAAAGAGTTAGTTTTTTTTTTCTTCTGATTCTAATACAGTAAGAAATTCCAGAGCAGACAAATACCAACTCAATTACGAGGTCGATAGAATGAAAAATTTAAAACGTATTATTATAAAATTCATCAGTCACCTGAGGAATGTGTTTTTTCAGAGCGTGTGTGATGTCCTGTGGAGCCTGTAGAATATTATACACACTTGATACATTAATTGATTTAATGATATTTAATATATATTTATATATATATTTTGATTAAGGCATCTACCTATCTCGCTATCTATCTGTCTAACTATCTAATTATCTATCTATCTATTGCTGAACAAATGTATTGTATTACTGCCCTCAACTAACAGTATTGGTTATACAACAGTATTGGTTATACAAATAACTTTTATTTTTAGATGGGAACAAATACGTACAAACTGCACATCATTGAAAACACAAAAAGTACTCAAAGTCTATCCATAAGTGGAAATTTGCTATTTTTGCATTTTTTAGAGCAATTTTCTACTTCCGGTTTGAAAAGCAAAAACTCCCAGACTCTCTGCTGATCCACATCTACCTATTGGAATATGACGTTAGTGTGCTCTTACCTAAGTCGCTAAACAGAGATGGCTCATGGATTTCCAGGCTAGAATAAAAGGCAGATTTAACCTTGTCTCCTCCAGAGTGCAACACTTCATATAACTCTCTCATTTTCTCCTGGTCAGTATCTGCTGCTCTGATCTTACAGTACGGCTCCCATTCCAGCATGCCACGGGACTTCAGCTCATCTGCTATCGGCATCACCATCTGTACTCTCTGGACAAGTTCCAGCCAGTGTGTGTCCACAAACCGAGCACCTGGTAGAGAGATAATAACATGATAACTGCTCACAAGGAAGAACAGAATTTCATAAGATTGAAGAACGGCATATTCTATTGTGTAGCAAGTACTTATTTGGGCCACTTCACTTTTAATCAGGGTAATGCAGAATTTTTTTTCATATGACTATCTCTGCTTTTACTGTGGTAACTACTTACGCTCTGAGTCTTGGTCCATGGTGTCTCATAAGTGTCTACAGAGCCGATCCGCCCTATACGCTCACTACGCAAGCTGCGTAGGGCCCCGCAAATTACTCAAGGCCCCGCCTCCCCCTCGTGTCATAGCGCGTCAATTAATGTTTACAACATCAATGACAAAATGAAGCGAAACTATCCTTCTGGTCACAAAAAGAGGGGGGAAAAACATGAGTGAATTGCGGAAACAACAATCAGGTAAACTTGTGTTCTCTCCTCTCCAAGTTTGATGTCAGCAAAGTAAAGTTAAGTTTATGTGCATTTCTATTGTGTTTTTTAAAGTGCAACGGCTCGGAAAAGATAACCGCGTCGCGTGTGTTATCATACGTTCATATGCGCGTGCACGAAATGAAACGCGCATTTTTCAAGCAGAAATATATGTGGAGAGAGACCAGACATACTGTAGCCTACAATATTTGGGCCTGAATGATGACACTCCTCATCAAATTACACATTATACATACTTTTAAAACCAGACACTGATTATCTAGTCTCAGTCAATGTGTAGTTAAAAACTCTAAACAACTGCTTATGCAAGATGGAAAGCAATGTATTGACAATTTGACATTGATTGACTATTGATTTATAGGCTATATTGAATTTAAAATGTTGATTAGCTGGACATACTGGTCAATATGGATGCACATCCCTCAGTAAATAATAACCATAAATCAAGAATTGCTTCAACATGCATACTAAAACAAACCTTTAACATATGGCAAGCCATTTTAGCTTTTATTCATTCACAGTTTATGCATTTTTTATATCAAGAATTCATTTTTTTTTTTTTACTATTTGCAATGTGAATTCTTGATTATTTTTTACTAGTAGGGCCCCATAGTTACATTTTTATCTACCAATGTCTATTTCTGATATCAGGAATTACATGTTCACTTGTACAAAAGTTAATTCTTGATTTCAATGATGTCATCACTCACAGGGATTATTGATATCTGCAACACAATATTCACTTGTTATCTTAATATTCTATAGAAAATACTCTATTCAATAAATATCATTCTGTTCTATATTATTGTACTTATTCTTTGACTGTTTGGTTTAAAGGAGGGAGGATTGTATTGGGAGAACTGAAGTGTCAGGTGTGACTGTGGCAATGGCAAATGGTTTACATAGCTCACGGCTTCACGGGTCAGGTAGAGGGCCCCTTAGCAGAATTTAGCTTAGGGCCCCAGGGAGGTCAGGATCGGCACTGAGTGTCTATGACGTGTTGTAGAGAGCTGTCTTAAGTTGTCCTCTAGGAAATGAAACATAATGAACATAGTATGAGATGGTTGAAGAGAGCTTTTGTGACCCATGGTTAAAAATTACACTATGGGAATGCAGTAAATTAAAGCAGCACTAGGTAACTCTTGTGATGGTACATCGACTTACAATAGGTTGAATGACACGTCTGCCATAGCCTGACGGGGTCTGTAGCGTTTTTAATCGTACTTTTAAACTTCGGGTTTCGGGTAGTAACCGGCGAACAAAGAGAACTACAAAATTCGACTGCTTTACGGCATATTCGTCACTTCCACCACCACCACCACCGCCACTTCCTTAAAATCGGACGTGCGAGCCAAATGTTAGAGTCATGGCCGAAGCAGCACAGAAAAACAAGAAAGCAAAGGTTTTATCGGAGCAAAGCAAAAAGAGAAAAAGAAAAAGTGATCGCGTTAAAGGCAGAACGAGGATCAGCATTGGGCCAGCGTTTTTTATCGCTGGCGTGAGCTGAAGGAGGAGGAGGGGTGCCCGACCGATGCGGACTTGGCTGTCATGCTTTTGGACTAGCAAGTATATTGCTTGCATACTATCTCTTTGTTTTTTTGTCTGCCTGACTATGCTACGGAAGCTATCTTATCCTCCGTTTATCTTCATGAATCAAGTAATGATAGTAGAGTAGCGAATTATCAATCTGGTAAGTTAGCTAGTAAACGATATTCTAGTTTGGTAGGGGCTACATTCTTGCAAGTAAATATATAAGATGTACAAAATCATATTTTAGGATACCTAACATGTCTGTGATATTTGTTTATTTGTCTTGCCTCAAGCTATAATGCAAATCGATTTGTAAAATTTGCAGATTAATTTATGGTAGCTTGATATTATAATATTGACGATATATGGTTATTATCTACCACTCAAACATTGCATTGAAGTATCATATAGATTCAGTAAAACGGTAACCAATAGACTAGGCTACTATAATGACGCTGGCTTGTAAACGTGATCATCGCTATCACTTGTCGTTAGAAAAAAACAAAAAAAACCTAAAATTATATTCATAGGACATGCTGAAATATATGCCACTGTACCTGGGATGAAGACATTTCACACGCGACGCAAGCAGAACACCTGCATGTGACCTCCTCCTACAGTGTTAAGGGCTATCATGGTTGTCAACAAATGCACGTGCATGTAGGATGACAGAGTTTACGACGGTAGTGGAGGACAATATTGTTTCCCAACTGTAGGGGGACATCCCGAGAGCAAAAGTTACCTGGTGTTACTTTAAGTGGTATTGCAAGCTCCAGCCCCTGACCAGAGTCAAGTGCAAGATCCAGCCCCTGACCAGAGTCCATTGCAAGCTCCAGTCCCCGACCAGAGTCCAGTGCAAGCCCCAGCCCCTGACCAGAGCCCAGTACAGGCTCCAGTCCCTGACCAGAGTCCAGTGCAAGCTCCAGCCCCTGACCAGAGTCCAGTGCAGGCTCTAGCCCCTGACCAGAGTCCAGTGCAGGCTCCAACCCCTGACCAGAGTCCAGTGCAGGCTCCAGCCCCCGACCAGAGTCCAGTGCAGGCTTTAGCCCCTGACCAGAGTCCAGTGCAGGCTCCAGCCCCCGACCAGAGTCCAGTGCAGGCTCCAGTCCCTGACCAGAGTCCAGTGCAGGCTCCAGTCCCTGACCAGAGTCCATTGCAAGCTCCAGCCCCTGACCAGAGTCCAGTGCAGGCTCCAGCCCCCGACCAGAGTCCAGTGCAGGCTTTAGCCCCTGACCAGAGTCCAGTGCAGGCTCCAGCCCCCGACCAGAGTCCAGTGCAGGCTCCAGTCCCTGACCAGAGTCCAGTGCAGGCTCCAGTCCCTGACCAGAGTCCATTGCAAGCTCCAGCCCCTGACCAGAGTCCAGTGCAGGCTCCAGCCCCTGACCAGAGTCCAGTGCAGGATCCAGCCCCTGACCAGAGTCCAGTGCAGGCTCCAGTCCCTGACCAGAGTCCAGTGCAGGCTCCAGCCCCTGACCAGAGCCCAGTAGGGCTGCACGATTAATCAAATTTTAATCACGATCACGATTTTGGCTTCCCACGATTAAATTCGCGCGATCGAGCGATATTTAAAATGCGTCATTCCGTTCACAGCACGCTCGCTCCGTATCAACGTTTTTTTTTTTTTTGCAAAGCCAATCTAGCGCTCCGTAAACCACTGTCTGATCACGTGCCTCCATGAGCCCCAGTGCGCGAGAGAGACTGTCTGCGCGCGAGCGACAGTGCACGAGAGCTCCAGCCCCTGACCAGAGTCCAGTGCAAGCTCCAGTCCCTGACCAGAGTCCAGTGCAAGCTCCAGTCCCTGACCAGAGCCCAGTGCAGGCTCCAGCCCCTGACCAGAGCCCAGTGCAGGTTCCAGCCCCTGACCAGAGCCCAGTGCAGGGCACCAGAGTTTGTAATTTCAATTTCGTTTGGAGTAGATTCCATTCAATTGGAGCTGCATGCATAAAAGCCTTTTTTCCCAGTTCAGTTCTTACAAATGGAACAGAAAGAGTAAAACAATTATCAGACCAGAGGGATGTGGAACATTTTACATCGATTATTCGGTCACTTGAAAAAGACTCAATGATGTGCAATTGTTTTAATTTTATACTTGTTGTTTTGATCTGTAAGTTTGTGATTGTGACTGCTGCCCATTCTTGGCCAGGACACTCATGTGAAAGAGATTTTTAATCTCAGAGAGATTATCCTGGTTAAATAAAGGTCAAATAAAAACAAATAAAAAATTATATTGAACTCTGTTTGCAATAACATTGTTCATTTCCCTGTTTAACCATGTAAAGCTGCTTTGAAACAGTCATATAGCAATATATATTTAATGGTGACTTGACATTTGCAAAAGGAAATTATTTAGTGTTAAAGAGAGTGAAAGAAAGTTTGTGTGTGAAAGAGAATGTTTTTGCTTTTAATCATATACAGTAAATATAATTTACTTGTTATTTTGTGGTTTAAAAATTGTGTTGGTAATAAATGTTAATATAGTGTATTTGTTCTTTGTTAATACATGTTTATATTAAAGTTAATTTTATAATAAAAAAATCTTAATCTTTTTAAATGGTTGAATTTGTGTTTCACTGCCAGTTTCTGGGCCACATCTGGCCAGGGGACCCAGCCGACTCTCAGCCAGATGTGTCTTACAGTGCCTGGGGCAGACCTGGGCCATATCAATAAATAAGAGTCATTTTACAGGGTGTGGGCCACATCCGGGCCAGAGGAAGTTGTTTGAGTCCGTTTTCAGTGTGGGACAGATTTGGGCCGGGGACCCAGCCAGACCCAGAAAGCCCAGAGGTGGGCCAGACTAATTTTGCTATCTGGGACACCTGCCGTATTATCATTAAAATGGCACATGAAACAATAAATACAACTTGTCAATCATAAAAAGAAAAAGAAAAAAAGAACTACACGAAATAATTCAATTACCGCACTCAGAAACAGCTTTCCGGCTTTAACTCGGCAAAAGAAGAAATATTTTCGCGGGTCTGGTCGGCATTGCGTGCTGTAACGGTACATGCTGACGAAATTTGATATAACTTACATGAGGTGAGTGGTTTTCAAGGAAATCTCAATGGTTCATCCGTCCCGCGTTTCCCGGGCCGGCTCTCCCTACTCAGTCTAAAAAAAATAAAAAAAATAATATGCTAAAACACATGCTGCGCGTCTCGTCGCGGTTTAGAAAAACAATAACAATATCGATCGTGTAAGTGATAAACTCATCTCGTGACTGCGAGGCTTAATGTCAGAAAAGTGA